TAAACTTCATAAAAAGTTGTCAACTATACAAATGAAGCTCAAATGTTGTTTAGTATAATTGGAAATTTTCAAACAAATCCAACAATTTTGAATAGCTTTTGTAAAGCTGTAAAGACAAGAACCCGTTTTTCCACATTTTAGAGGTTATATGCTTAATTTTCATCGATTTTTATTGATTTTCAAACGATTTTTTTTTGCTTTCAGTTTTTTCTGCTGTTGCAAACGCGCCCCACTGGGCAAAACAAATCTCAATAGAGCGCGTTTATACCTTTTTGAGCATTTTCGCCTTCTCCGCTTCGGTCCGCCCACTCTTTTGCTCCGTGTTTCCCGACTTCTGCATATTTTCTTCGTTTCCAGAGATTTGCGAAGATTTTCACAGTAAAAAATCTCGAAACACACGAGGAATAATGCCTTTTTCCGGGGTGAAAAGGATGAATTTATTTTTTTCCTAAATTTTTGGGTGAAACATATTAAACTTGACATTTCTAGTGACCTAGATACGTAGAGATACGTAGCAATTTTGATAAATATATCGAAATTAGAATTTTTTAAAAGTCAATATTAGTTCCTTGAGATTTGAAAAATCGTGTTTAGACACACACGCTGCTGACCACACGTGGCAATTTGAACGACGTGGTAGGTGGTTTATACCCGTCCACCACCCTTCCCTCCTTAAGTGTGCGCGCTGGCCGACTGGCTAGCGCGCGCGGTTTTGAAGCGAACACTTTTTGGTTCGATTCCTCTTGGGGGTTTTTTTCTGTTTTTTTCTTTTTTATTCTTCTTTTTGAGAGTGTGAAATGGATTCTAGATAAATTGAAGCTCTTATTTATATGATTTTGAGTAGAAATCCACGTAAAAAGTGTGGGAAACCACGTAAAACTACTGAAAACGTGGATTTTTGAGGTTTTTAAAATAGCCGAGCAATGAATTTAGACTCTCTAAAACCGTCGAAAGCTCCAGAACCCAAAAACCAACATTTCTTTGCAGAACAAGGACACTTCCAGATAAGAATTGAAGAAAAAATGGGAAAAATGGAGACATGGGAAGTGACGGGGCGGACCAATGAGACCGTAACCATCACTTATAAACGCAGAGTCTACAAAGAAGAAGTTTTTACACAAAGTACTGGAAAAAGCCAAGGAAAACCAATGATGGTGGATAAGGAGACGAAGGATATGCTGAAAAGATTGAGTGGGATGAGCAAAGATATCCGGAAGAAGTATCGGATTGAGAAGAAGGAGGAGGAGAAAAGTTTCAAGAAGAATAAGAAGAATCGGTGAGAATTAAAAAACATTTTTTTTCGAAAATTTTGAGTCGAAAAAAATTTCCTCCTCCTCCCCCTCCTCCCCTCGCGGCTCCCCTTTCTCGCCCCCTCTTCATTGCCCTCCGCACCCTCTCTTTCCAACTGCCTGCGTGGCCGAGTGGATAGTGCGCTTGCCTCTTGATCCTAGGGTTTTTGGTTCGACTCCCACCACTGCCAACTTCTTATTTTTTCTTTTTGCACCCCCTATTTCTGAAATTACAGGGTATCCAAGAAGCCAGAAAACCTAAAATCTCTCAAAGATGATAGCGAGGAGGAGGATCATATCAATGTCGATGGGGTTTTGATCAAGAAGGGAGCCAAAGGAGAGCCATGTGATCATCGTGGAGTGTAAGTTAATATATTCTTTAAGGTTTTAGGCTTTAAACGTTTTTTTTTATTTTAGGCCCCTATCCCATCCAATGGCAATGACACCGTATCCGGGAGCCTCAACTGCTGCTCAACGAGAGAAGGCGCGGAAAATGTTGAAGGAGATTGCGAGACAGATGCATGAGGAGGATTTGAAGAAGCAGGGAATTCTCAAAAAGTCTGAAAAATCTGAAAATTCGGAGAAATCTGAGGAGAAAAGCGCTGGAAATAGTCTCACTGGATCATCCAATTTGACTACACAAACCTCGGATTTATCCTCGATCTCTTCAGCTGCTACTAGCTCGAAAACTTCTGGAAAATCATCCAAATCCAAATCTAAATCCAAATCGACTTCAAAAAGTTCCAAAAACTCGAGATCTTCTAATAAGTAGGTTTTTAATGGCTTTTAAGTGGTTCTAAGCGTTTTTATGGGTTCTAGCTATTTAGAAACCCTTCTAAACTAGCCCAAATACCCCTAGGCACGCTAAAATAGGTTTATCCAGGCTTGTCAAAAAATAAAAAGCACAAAAAAGGTGGGTCCAAAAGCAAAGTGTTAGTCACTGCGCCACGGCCGCGACTATCGAAGAAGGCGCGAAAGACGGATATAAAGGTGGTGGGTGGTGGCGCCGGGATACGCCGTGTGGGGAAGAGTGGTGGGGGTGTTGGCTCGCTCTGGGTGACGGACAAATTTTGAAATTTCAGAACTTTCTAAATTTTCAAATTTCCAGAAAAATGGGATGTGACAAGTGTGGAAGTTGCCAGAAATGCATCCATCGTTGCTCTCAAAAACACGCGGCAGACGTTAAAGTGACGGATTACGAACGTGAGCAGTTTCTGAATGGAATCAAACGTCTTCGTAAGAAGATTGTGAAGCCAGAGGTACAGTAACCCAACAAAAAAATTTTTTTAAAGGAAATTTTTCTTTCAGAAAAACCGTGAGAGAGCCACAAAATCGCCATACGACGTCACTCAGAGTGAATCGGAGTTGGAACTTACTAGTGGTTCGTCGAGCAAAAGTGCCAAGACCTCCAAAAAGAGCAGTGTGGAGAAGTAGAGAACTTTCTGGAACTCTTTTTTGGGATTTTTTTGAAAAAAATAAATTTTTATGTGTAACCGTTTTCGTCCGACCCTCTAGGGTTCGATTCCACCCAGAGGCATTTTGTTTTTTTTCTTCATATTAAAGCGTTTTCTGGCCTTCGGGATTACCAAAACAACTAGACTAAAGCAGACTATACAAACAGCCAATGTAAACATTGGCCTAAAAAATGCACACTGCATAATAATTAGGGCCATTTCGAACAGCACACTTGTCTATTCATCTTTTAGGTAGCATGAGCTCTCCTCTTATTCTTGTCCCACTGATTTTCCTTACTATCAGTTTCTACTTGTTTTTCGATCTAGAATCTAAGAATGAATCAATTATCGATTTTTCAAAACTGGAGTGTCAGAAGATGTTCGATGGGGATCGGGAGGCATTGGCAAGAGGGACGCAGTTCAAATTTAATGATTCGAGAATTCTGGAAATTCTAGAGAATTCGAAAAATGAGAAATGTGAAAAATTTCAAGAAATCTTTGGATTCTTCTTGGAGCCGAAATCTCAAGAAGAGGCGGATTTTTCATTGGCTTATGGGATGTTGGTACATGAGAATTTTGTTCAGGTAGGGAGCCGTGGTCTAGTTTTGAAACTTTTGGATTCCTAGGCTACCTAGAATCGGAGATATGACCTGGACGGATAAAAGGCCCGTGACTGGCGGCTAAGGGGTGTAACTCAGCTAGTCTTAACTCTAGGCTCTTGAAACATTCAAAAATTACGAAGCAACACACATTTAATAATTGAGCAAAATTTCGAACGAACCATAGAGTACCATTTCCCCATCCCACTGCTGTTTTCAATGGTTCTTCAAAGCGTATAAAAGAAATGAGGACGTGGAAGCGTTCACGTATGCATTTCAGTGCAAAATCTACTGAAAACTTCTGACCTAAATTTCTCGAGTTAGCGGAGGCCGCCGCAAAAACTGAGCATATATTTGAAAATGAAATTTCATCCTCTTTCGAATGATATAGGTCTCGTCCCATAACTCCACATCTTCTGTGAGTCATTCCCTGTAGGGGTGTAACTCAGCTAGTTTTAACTCTAGACTCTTGAAACATTCAGAAATTACGAAGCAACACACATTTAATAATTGAGCAAAAATTCGAAACTCTAGGACATCTGTAACCCAAGATACGCCCTGGACGGACGAGCGACGGACCGCTGGCGGCTGAAGGCCGTTAGCATTCCGCCCGTAACTCGGCTAGTTTCGGCCTTAGCTAATTGAAAATTTTACAACCTATTAAGCAAAATACAATCTATATTTGACCCAATTTTCAAAACTCTAGGCTTTCTAGAAGTTGAGATATGCTCTGGACGGATGCGTGGCGTCCCACTGGCGGCTGTGGGGCCTTTAGTTTTCGGCTCGTAATTTTGCTAGTGTTGACCCTAGGTTTTTGAAATTTTGAAAGGTTCTTGATCAACGTAAAATCTATCTTTAGTTCAATTTTTACAACCCTGGGCCATCTAAAACCCGAGATACAGTCTTCTAGGCCATCTATGGACGGAAGTGCGGCGGACCAATGACGGCTGAGGTTGCGTTCCGCCCGTAACTCGACTAGTTTTGACTCTAGCTTTTTGAAAATTTTCCAGGTTATTAATCAGATTATAACTAATAATTAACCCGATTTTCAACAATCCAGGCCATCTGGAACTTGAGATATGCCTTGAACAGACGAGCGACGGACCACTGGCGGCTGAGAGCCATAACTCGGCCAGTTTTAATCCTAGCTATTTGAAAATTTCAAAAATTATTGAACAGCATAAAATCTATCTTTGGCTTAATTTTTACAACCCTAGGCCATCTAGCTCTTGAGATATGCCTTGAACGGCTGTCCAGCAGACCAATGGTGGCTGTAGGTTCTTCAGTTTTCGGCCCGTAACTCTGCTAATTCAGGACTTGGCTTTCTAAAATTTTCATAAACTATTGATAACAGTGACACTGATAATTGTCAGGAATTTCAAAAAGCTAGATCACCCAGAACCTGAGATATGCCTTGAAAAGACGAGCGACGGACCACTGGCGGCTGAGAGCCATAACTCGGCTAGTTTTGACTCTACGCTTCTGAAAATTTGGCAAACTATCAAGCAACTTACATTTAATAATTGGCTCAATTTTCAAATCCCTCTCATATCTAGAACTTGAGATATAGCCAAATTACACTTGATGGCCTAGAAATCCCAAAAACTCTTCCATTGGCTTTTCTTCCAGCTCTCCCTGCTTCTTTCGGCTATCTATCAACCTCAGAATCAATTTTGCTTGGCAATCGACGGAAATTCCACAAGAGAATTTATAGAATCAATTAAGTTACTGTCTACTTGTTATCCAAATATTCATTATTTTGTAAGTGCGCTCTATTGGACAGATTCCAGAAAATTCCATTTTTCAGGTTACTGATGAAATCCGATGGTGTGGTTATGAGATTCTAACTTCTGTCTTTAAATGCGTCGATTTTTTGGCAAAACTTCCGAGCAACTGGAGATATTTTCAGGTATTTTTAAGATTGTGGCCTAGAAACCCAAACCTAGGCCACAAAATTATCATATTCAGAATCCACAGCTTATGAGCTTTCAAATGAGTATACTCATGCCCCTATTCTTTCAATTTTGATTTTTCGTGGGTCCCACCACGAAAAGTACCGTAATCCTTTTTGAGAAGCAAACCTAGGCATGATTATACTCATTTTGAAGCTCTCAACGAGACAAATACAATCCTTATAGTTTGATGACCTAACTCTGGAATTCTAGGCCATCATCAACCAATTTCAGTATCTCTCCGGAGTTGATGCGCCTTTAAAGTCAAATTTGGAGACTGTAAAAATTCTGAAAGCTCTAAATGGATCATTTAACGCCGAAATCAGTCCATTTGAATATTATCGATTAAATCGGAAGCTGGTAAGAGGATCCGTGGCCTAGAAACATTTCTAGGCCACGGATTTCAAAAATTCTAAAAATTTCAGCCCCGAAACTCTCCTCTTCCTCTATTCAAGACCTCCCTATCAGCAACATTTTCCAGGGAATCTGCGAATTTTATGATTTCCAATACGGTAGATCAAAAAAAAATTTTTTTTCTGAAATTTTCAAAAATTTGAAAAATCCCGAAATTTCAGAAAGTTCTAGAACAAATCGAATTCCTGCGAGGCACCACTTGTGCCGACGAATCGCTATGGGCTACGGTAGCTGGGAATCCAAAAAGTGATTTTTGAAAAAAAAAATTTTTTTTTGAAATTTTCAAAATTCCAGAACTCGCCATGCCCGGTGGATTTGACGCCAGGAAATGGCTCAGAAAATCAAGCCACTTCAAAAAAAGGGGTAATCAATCAATCGATAATTCTTATTATGTCTCCAGATATCAACAATATGTGAACATGCCGCCCGCAAAGTGTCAAGGTAGGCTTGTTGGTATGGTGGCCTAGAAAACCACCTAGCTGGCCTAGTTTTTTATCTAGGTCATGGGAAATTTATCGGATTATAACACTAAGGTGAGACATCGTGTTCACCAAATTTCACGTTCCTAGCACTTCGGAGAAGCGAGATACACCACTTTGTTCGTGGTGGCCTAGATTTGGTTTTCTAGGCCACCATGTTTAAATGCCCATAACGTGATTCTTATGAGAGCTAGAAACTTGAAATTTGGTAAACAAATAGCTTTTATTATTTTCTATGTTCTCAAAAAATTTCAACCAGCTTGCTAAATTTCTAGGCCAGCTAGGTGGATTTCTAGGCCACCACCCCTTAAGTGGGCTCAAAGTGAAGCTAGAGCTCTGGAATTTTACACCACTTTGTTCGTTGTGGCCTTGATTTGGTTTTCTAGGCCACCGTGTTAGAATGTTGATAACTTGCTTCCCATTTGTGATAGAAGCCTGAATTTTTGTGAGAACAATAACTAGGTCATCAAAAATTACCTGGCCGAGTTTCAAGTCTCTAGGTAGAAAACTAGGCCACCAATTCAAAAAATTAGGTTGGCGGTATAAGAATCTGGCCTAGTTTCAAGCTAGGTCATTGAAAATTTATGGGATTGTCAAACAAGAGTGGGACATCGTGCTCACCAAAGTTCACGTTTCTAGCTCGCTGGAGAAGCGAGATATAACACTTTGTTCGTTGTGACCTAGATTTGGTTTTCTAGGCCACCATGTTTGAATGCTCATAACTCGATTCTCATTCGAGTTAGAAGCTTGAAAATTTGTGAAATCATAGATTAGGTATTGAAAAACAATCTGGCCGAGTTTCAAGTATCTAGTTGGAAAACTAGGCCATCCCCTTGAAAGGAGGCCTAGAAACTCAAAATTTGGTGGCCTAGAAAGCTGGAATTCAATTATTCATTTTGAATTTTATAATTTAAAGTGAACCTAACAACTAGTAAAAAAATTTAGCTCCTACGACTTCTGGAAACCTAGTTACAGCCATGGCCTAGAATTTCGGTTTTCTAGGCCATGGGTGCAAATTTGTTCCCCAATGACCTAGAGACTTGAAATTTGGCAAGCACTTAGTTTTTATCCTTTTCTAACCACAGAACAATTTTCAGTTGGCTAGCTCTATTTTTAGGCCAGCTATTTGGATTCCTAGGCCACCAACCTAACTTTTTGAATTGATGGCCTAGTTTTTTGCCAAGAAACTTGAAACTCGGCCAGGTAATTTTTGATTGTCTATTCTTTCTTCTGTCAAAATTTCAAGTACCTAGCTCTTAGGAAAATCGAGTTACCAGCATTCTAACATGGTGGCCTAGAAAACCAAATCTAGGTCACCTCTAACAAAATGATGTGTCTCGCTTCACCAAAAAGCTAGGAACGTGAAATTTGGTAAGCACACTTGCCTTACTTAGTTTAATAATCCTACAAATTTTCCAGAGCTCTAGCTTCACTTTGAGCCCACTTAAGAGGTGGTGGCCTAGAAATCCACCTAGCTGGCCTAGAAATCTAGCAATCTGGGTTGAAATTTTTTGAGAACATAGAAAATAATAAAAGCTATTTGTTTACCAAGTTTCAAGTTTCTAGCTCTCATACGAATCACGTTATGGGCATTTAAACATGGTGGCCTAGAAAACCAAATCTAGGCCACCACGAACAAAGTGGTGTATCTCGCTTCTCCAGAGAGCTAGGAACATGAAATTTGGCGAGCACACTTTCCCAACATCACTTTACGACTCTACTAAATTTTAGTGACCTAGATAAAAAACTAGGCCAGCTATGTGGTTTTCTAGGCCACCATGCTAAAACCGACATATCTCGGCTCAAAATGAAGCTAGAGCTCTGAGATTTTTTACAAAAAGGTTCTAAAGTCATTTAAAAAGGTTTATTGAACTTTTACAAAAAAAAATAGGTCTCTCTTTGGGCTTTCTTAGCATCTCAATGATCTGGTCCACCACGTATTCTCTCTATCCACTTCCTCCTGTTGCTCAGCCTTTTCCTTTGGATTTGTTGGCTCCAAAACTACAATAGTTTCTTCGCAAAACTCTCCTTGGGGCTCATGGAAGAGTTCCGAGACGAATTGTGGTGTAGAAATCGATGGATTACGGTATCTTCTCTCCGATAGCACCTGATCCTTTGATTTGATTCGGAGGCTGTGCTCCAGTTTTTGACAAAGCGAACGGACCGACGTCGTTGTCGTTGGCTCTGGAGCGCTGAAAATCAAAAAAAAATCAAAAAATCGATAAACGATCGATAACTGACCATTCTGGCCGTTCAATGACTGTATTCACTACATCCGACGTCTCCTCTTCCTCTTCTCCTAGAACCTCGTGACAAGATTCTGGAGCCGTCGACGTCGATGGCGTCATCTCTTCAAAGTTTCCAGAATCCTCTTGTTCCACAGCAGTCATCAGAATCCCTTTCTCTTCTTCTGAATCCCTAGTAGACATTCTCATTGGCTTCGGTTTCGCCGATGCTCTCATAATGGCGCACGTCCATTTGTGAACCTCGTCGTCTCGCACAAAAATGTGGATATTACCATGTTGGAGACGGATTTTCAAGTGACAGCGTAGCTGGAAAAATTCAAACTTATTTGGATATGCTCTGGCGAATTACAGAGCTCTAGCTTCACTTTGAGCCACTTAGGGGTGGTGGCCTANAAATCCACCTAGCTGGCCTAGAAATTTAGCAAGCTGGTTGAAATTTTTTGAGAACATAGAAAATAATAAAAGCTATTTGTTTACCAAATTTCAAGTTTCTAGCTCTCATAAGAATCACGTTATGGGCATTTAAACATGGTGGCCTAGAAAACCAAATCTAGGCCACCACGAACAAAGTGGTGTATCTCGCTTCTCCAAAGAGCTAGGAACATGAAATTTGGCGAGCACACTTTACCAACATCACTTTACGACTCTACTGAATTTTAGTGACCTAGATAAAAAACTAGGCCAGCTAGGTGGTTTTCTAGGCCACCATGCTAAAACCGGCATATCTCGGCTCAAAATGAAGCTAGAAAACCCATCTTTCCAACATACCGAGTCAATTTTTTTGCTCTTTTGAACAAAACGGTCCGCGTTACAAAAAACGTTGATCGCCTGCCGCAAATCGACAACCAATCCTTTGGAACTGTTCATATAAATGATCAAGTACCCATTCGTTGTCACATTCAAAAATCGGCTCTTCATTTTCGTGATATTGTCGGGGAAGGCAAAAAACGAGGCTTTTGAGCGGATGAAACAGTGCACATTGCCACGTTGCAACACATTGCTCAGCTTGTATTGTGGGCGGGGCGGTAGATCAATATACTGAAAAAGGAGAATATGGCCTAGAAATCCAAAATTTTGGATTTCTAGGCCACCAATATTTTCCATGAATTTAAGACTATTTGGTCAATATTGTGCCAAAATTTGAGCGTTCTACGACTACTGTAGCCAAAGTTATGCTTGTTTGAAGTTTGGAGCTCTAAGTGGCCTAGAAATCCAAAATTTTGGGATTTCTAGGCCATCAATACTTTCATTTTATTTGAGATGTTCTAATCAATGCCCTGTCCAAATTTGAGCCTTTTACAACTACTGTAGACGTTTGGCCCATTTGAAGTTTTGAGGAGACACGCAACGCGACCGCGCCGCGTAGGTCAAAACTTAAAATGTTCATATCTCGGCTCCCAGTGACCCTAATTCATTGAAATTTGGAAGGTATGCTTGGCGTATACCTTGCTATCTCTCCACAAAAAATCAGAACCGCGACGCGACCGCGTCGCATAGGTCAAAACTTCAAAGCGGCGTAACTTTGCGACTAGGGGGGCTAGATCTTTAAAATCTCGGGGGTATGCGCAGCTTATATTCTTATATCAAAATTTCTAAATTCCAAATGGGCGGAGCCTATCTGTACCTTATCCAATCGTTTGGCGACGTGAAGTGTCGTCGAGTGATGGTGATGCATCGGTTGATCAGCAGACATTATCGATTGAGAGGGGTGGTTAGTTGGGAGTTAGTCGAGTATTCTCGTATTGATTTTATTGATTGATTGGAGACGGGAAGAGTAGTGGATCCAAGTGGCGCCAGCTTTGACGTCCAGGTTGCGCGCGAATTTCAAATTTTTCAAAAAATATATTGTTTTTAGGTCAAAAATCGATAATTCTTTCAGGCTACTACTATCGATTTTCGTGCGTTTTTGGCGTTTATGACCTACCGAATTTGATCAGGTAGTTTTTGTAGATTACTGTAACAATATATAGTCATTTTGAAGCTCTCAACCTCTAGAATCTAAAAATCGAGTTTTGAAACGTTTAGCCCCCGCCCACTTTTCAAACTCCGCCCCTTTTTCTTGCAGGAGACACGAACTGATCGCCCATAAACTGTATTTCTCCTATCAGCCGGCTGCTTTTCTGTGTTTGGTGGAAAATTCCAGAAGAAAATCGATGAGGACGCCGCAGATGGCATTTTCAGCCGAAAATTATAGATATGAACACTTGAGAAATGCACCGGAATAAATTATTTTCGAGAATTTGGATTTTATAAATTTAAATTTTTTTGAATTCCCCCCAAAATTTCCTGGGCGTCGCCACCGCCCTCCCCTTCTTATACGCCTTCCGCTCCCCTTTTCCGTTGTGAGGCTGCGGTGTAGTTGGTAAAAATTGCATTTTGGATCTGACCCCCGCGGGTTTATTCCCCACTAGAGATTTGTATCTTTTTTCTTCTTTTTAAAGCTTTTTCATTACTTGGAAAAGCTTTCTTGTCATAATAAAAGAGTTTTTCACAACTTTTCAGAAAAAAATCAATTAAGAAGATCCATAATTAGCTCCTTGATCCTTTCCTGATCCTTGTCTACAGTACTCCCTGAGCAATAAACAATCATTAAATTTTCGCCGTTTTTCAACGCGAAAATTTTCTCTGATTCTGAATGTTTGAATTCCAGAAGCTTCTCAGAAGATGTTTGAAGAGAGAATTCGCGATTTTCCAAGTGGAAACTTCCAGAATTTTTGGTTTGAATTTCGGAAATTAGATTGTCGATGAAGTTCTGGAAAATTAATTTATGGAAATTGATTTTGAGATTCTCCAATTAAAAAAAATTGAATTTCAAAAATTTGAGTTTTTGAATTTTTTGAAAAAAATTTCTTTGAAAATCATCTTGGCGGCCGCCGCCAAGCGCCGCCACCCTCCCCTTCGTTTATGACTTCCGCATCTTCATCACGTTGTAGCCGCTGTAGCGCGGCCGGTAACTCTTTGGTTTTGAATCTGCCCCTCTCGGGTTCGATCCCCTCTGGGGGTTTTCCTCTTTTTCCTTCTTTTTAAAGCTTCGTTATCACTCGGAAAAGCGGAAAATCGTTCTAAAACTCACTTTATCAATTTCTCCAATCGAAAATTTCACCGAAACTTGTCCGGAATTCAAGAAAAGCGCCAATTTGAAACTTTTAAAATCTTCAAATTGATATTGAATATAGTCCTCGAGGTCTTGAAGGTTTTCAGACATTTTTAGAATAATTTAGACTAAAAATTTTTTGTTAAAAGTATTTTATATTCTAAAAATGATGATAATGACAATTGATAAGAGAAATGTGTGTGGAGTTTGTCTTTAATTGCATTCGATGTTGAAAAATACGCATTTTGTAGTCTGAAAATTCAAAAAACCCCCTAATTCCAAGAATTATCGCTAGAGCGCGTTTGCAGCTTCCTTTTTTCAATGTCTTTTTTCTAACCCGTATATCTCGAAAACTAGATGAGCTAGAAGAAATTGTTCAACTAGTAAAATATTTCTTTTGAAATGTTGAATCTTTTTCTAGTTGACAACTTTTCTCTATCACCAAAACCCGGGAAGTTATGATTTTTTGAATTTCCTAATCTTGTTTTTCCGGTTCCCACTCATATGATATAATTTTTCTCTGACATTTTTTGATAAATTATACATATTTTGCACCTGCTTTTAATTTCCGGTTTTGTATTTTCCGTTTTAGGCGATTTTCCCCGCGAAATTCGCAATTTTTCCCCTTTTTTGTCGCCAATTCGCCGCTCGCCAAGTGAGAGACAACGCGAAATTGAGAGACGCCCGACGCGAGAGTCAAAGGCGCATGTTGTTTTTCAATCGCGCGGGTATTGCCACGAACGCGCCGCTTCGCTTCGGCTCGCGATTTCCGTAAACAAACCCGCCCATTTTGGTTGTTTTTCAGCGTTTTTCGCCGTTTTTTCGCATTTTCTTATCGAAAAATCGACTCGGGGCGTGTCAAAGTGTATAGTAGACCTGGTTGATTTTCGAAAAACCGATCACTGGTCGCCGAAAACTTGGTTGGAACATTTTTTTCGATTTTCGGACATTTTTCGCCTATTTTCAGCTGTTTTTGGCCTATTTTTCTCTTGCAATTTGCTTTTCAGACTTCGGAGAAGAATTAGACCTAAAATTCTGAATTTTTCGCCGAAAACTTGGTCAGAATTTTTATTTTCGATTTTTGACGATTTTTCGCTGATCTCCTCATATTTTTGCTCTTTCTCGCAGTTTTAGGAGTAAAATTAGACCCGAAAAATCAATTTTTCAGCAAGAATGGGCGTCGATAGACAAATTCTCATCGAGGGAGACAACGTCACCAAGCCAAAGGCCGGACAAACCGTCACCTGCCACTACGTGCTCACTCTTGAGGGCGGAAAGAAGGTCGACTCGTCTCGCGATCGTGGACAACCCTTCAAGTTCAAGATCGGAAAGGGAGAGGTCATCAAGGGATGGGACCAGGGTGTCGCTCAGGTTGGTAGCCGGGGGAAAGTTGGACTTGTCAAAGGTTTCTCGATCTCTGGAATAATCTGGAAGCTCGGAAAGCGTTTTGAAACCACCAGAAACTAATCCTCGCACAAAGTTTGAGTATTTTCATTCTGAATCCCTGTTAAGCGCTCTTAAAGCTCCATAGAGCCAAACTTTGGTCCAAAATAGACGATTTAGGCTGTAAATCTCGTTGAGGGGATCCCAAGGAACATAGTATTCTCGGAGACCCTTTCCGGAGCCCTAGAGGGGAGTGAATGCTCCAGAAGTCTCCTAAGCCTCCTATATCCCAAAAATCACTAATTTTCCAGATGTCCGTCGGCGAGAAGTCGAAGCTCACTATCTCGCCAGACCTCGGCTACGGAGCCCGCGGAGTTCCACCACAAATCCCAGGAAACTCCACCTTGATCTTCGAAGTCGAGCTCCTCGGAGTTAACTAATTCTGGATCGCCTGGATCATCCAACAAGTCGAGAAGCTCCGTTCTAGAAGCATCGACTCTCTCAAAAACTGATATCCTAAATTCTTTTATAAAAGATTGCAAAAATAATTTATTTTGTCATCGTTATAAATACTTTTTACTTTCAATTGTCGATTTTTTTTGTTGTTGCTAAAACTAAAATCCTTGTATGTGTGTATTTATGGTGTTTGTTGGTGTCCTTGAACGTCGAAATCTCCGATTACCTTGCCAATTTTGCCTCGCTTTTCTTTTATATTTCGCCTCTTCTCTCCCATTTGAATGTAATTGTGTACGTATTTTCGGGGAGCGCCAGAGGGCCGCCCGTCTTCAGTCCCTTCAGAGACCATCTGTTCCCTATTTCTATTCCTATTTCATTCAATTTTGAACATTAGAAACGGAAGACGACGGGTGGTGACACTCTATGAGTCATCCGCCTCTATTTTTATCATTTTGTTTCAGGTTCGATACGACAGCTCCGCCTACACTACCAGAAAGTGTATAAAAATCTCGTTTTTTCACTCTAAAGTTAAAAATGTTTTTTTGTCATTTTTAGGACCAAAAATACAAATTCTTATGGCTAAAAATGGTGGAAATCCATGAGATTTCGCAATTTTTTTGTTAAAAAATTTCAATTCTAGACCCGAAAATCTTAAAAATTTGAGATCAAAAATTCAAACTTTTTGATCTTCCACCAAATTTTTACCCGCGAATTTTCGCATTTTTGTCATCAAAAGCAGCCATTTCAGGCGGCGCTTTGGGTCTTTCTCATTCATTTTTCTTGTTTATTTTTTCGATTTTATTATTTTCTTCCTATTTTTCAAATTTTCTTGACCAGATTTCTCTTTAAAAGTGCTGAAAATGTCAGATTTTGGTCTCAAAATCCTTAAAAATAGCTGAAATTCATGATTTCTGGCTAGAAAACCCCCATTTTTAGTTAGTAAATCCCTCAGAATATGTAAATTTTTAGATTTTTTCCAGCTAAAAACCGTCTAAAATGTCGTTTTTTCCTCTGTTTTTCATATAGAACCTTCTAGAAAATTCTCAAAATTCGGCTAATTTTGAGTAGATGAGGAAGATATTTCGCCATGTTTTGTTCTAGATTTCGAAATAAGCAGCTCAATAGAATTCAGAAGACCATTGCTCAGCATATTCCATTTCGCAATATCTAGCTGTTCTACAACCCAACTTGTTTCGCAACCCGACGAACCATACGTCCATTTTCCAATTTCACCCCGCCGTCCGCCCATTCGTTTCCAAATGATTCATCGTCTTCTTCTTCTTCCCCTTCTACCCTTTTGTTTCATTCTTTTGCCGCCAATTTCGAACTGCATTTGACATTAAGTATGGATTGTCGTGTGTGTGTGTGTCCCTTCTTTCTCTACTAGAGTCTCTAGTACACATTCAATTGGGCGACGGGGCTGGGTGACTAACTGACCACTGTGCTCTCATTCAAAAGGAGCACCCCTAACACTAACCAGATGGCGCTTGCAAACACATTTTCTCTCCATTTCTCCAGTTTCTGGCGCTCTTTTATTCCCAATTAGAACGTTCTGGGGGCTAATTTATTGCATTTTGGGAGAATTTAGGGGGTTTAGGAGGTTTAGAGCGTTCCAAAGGACCCCAAAGTCACTTTAGACGATTTCAAAAGCTATATTTGACCTGTAGGCGCCATTTTTAACAATTTGGACGTTTTGGACTCAGTTTATGGTATTTTGAAGGGTTTAGAGGATTCGAAATATTTCATTTCTCTCTGTGTAGCCTTTTTGGACGGCTCGAACGGTTTTCAAACGATTTCGAAGGTTTTTTGGCTATTTTGGACTGTTTGGAACGTTTTCAGCGATTCAAATTAGCTCTGAACGCTGTTTGAAGTCGTTTTCCTCGGGTTCAGCTCGAGTTATTGGCATTGTGGAGTTTTAGAAGGCTTTAGACCGTTCCAAGGTACTATATAGTGCTTTTAAACGACGGAAAATCGATTTTCTATGCTTTTGAGTCGTTTTTTGGTGATTTCAACACGATTTGTGTAATTTTCTACCTATTTTAACACTAGGAAAGAGTCTACGTAGTTTTAAGAGGTTTAGAGTACTCTGTGGAGCTCTGATGAGAATTTTCTCCGGTTTTCGGTGTAAATTAAGCTTTGAAACAGGTTTTGGAGGTATTTTGGCGTCAAAAATTGACTCTGGAGCGTTTTGACCTGTTCAAAATGCAAAAAATAGGCTAGAAATGGGTTTTCAAGCTCAAAATGGACCCAGAAACGCCTCGAATTCCGGCTATCCTTTGACAGTTTCAATAGCTCGTTTTCAACGATTTTTTGGATGTTTTCCCGTAATTTCTATCTCAAAAGATCAAAAAATCGGGCAATTCGAAACTGTTTTTGATCTCTCGCGCTTTTTTCTGTTGTTTTTGTGGTCATCGACAAGGCGCCAGAATTGTCATTCAAATTGTTTTGTGTCGCATCTCGCATCGCTGCTCGCTTGTATCGTTTACATGACTTTCTATGTGTATTTCCCCCACTGTTTATGACTGTTCTCTCTCTCTACGCCACGATTTCTAGCATTTTTGCTTGATTTTTAGGGTCTATTCTGGAGTTTTGGCTTGATTTCCAGCGATTTTTCTAGCGTTTTAGGTAGATTTTATGGATTTTACTGGATTTTTTTTCACTCGATTTCTGGCGATTTTAATGATTTTTCAAGCATTTTTGGCCACATTTCAAAGAATTTTAGCCTTTTTCCAGCTTTCTTCTTCCAATTTTCAGCTATTTTTACCCATTTTCTAGAAGTTTCGTCCGATTCCTAGGGATTTTTCTAGATTTTTTGGCTGATTCTTAGCGATTTTTCATTATTTTGCCCGATTTTTGGCTCGGTTTCTGCCGATTTTTCTAGAAATTTTTCACACGATTTCTAGCGGATTTTCTATAGTTTTTGCCCTATTTCGAGCGGTTTTTTCTAGGCGTTTGGCTCGATTTTTAGCAAATTTTCCAGATTTTTCGCTTGATTTTCAGTGAATTTTCGAGAATTTTCTCTCAATTTTAAAGCGATTTTTTAATCATTTTCTCCAATTTTCAAAGCGATTTCATTGTTCAGCCATTTTTCTAGAATTTTGTCCCATTTTTCTGCGATTTGTCATGAAAATTCACCTGAATTTCGTAATTTTCTAGGATTTTTCCCCTGAGTTCTAGATATTTTCAATTATTTTGCTCCATTTCCAAGGAGCCGAAAACTAGATTTCTAGAATATACACTCGATTTTGAGCAATCTATCTGATTTTGAAAGGTTTTCGCTCGATTTTCTGCGATTTCCGAGGTCTATAAACGATTTCAGATTTAGCTCATTTTTCCTCCGAATTCCCATTTACCCCAATTTTACACTATCCGACGCCCCTCTGTTCCTCATTATAATCTATCATTATTTTCCCTCATTTTCTTACTCATTTTCTTCCTCATAAACCCATCAACCCCATATGTTTCTCATTTCAGCCTCTCTTCTCTCTCTCTCTCAACCCAATCTCTTCAAAATGTCCGGATGGAACGCCTACATTGACACGATGACCGCCGCCGCCCCATCGATCAAGCGTGCCGCCATCGTCGGAGCCACCGACGGAGCCGTCTGGGCTCGTACCGAGGACGCCAACGTCTTCAAGGTGAATTTAGAAGGCGTTAAATCGCTCTACAGTCTTGAAAAATTGCATTTTTAGCTATTTAATTTTGGAATTTGGGGTTCAGCTAGGCTGAAAACCCTGTAAAATTGCTTTTTCAGTGACTGAAGGGTGTGTCCTCAAAAGCCCCAAAAATCGCTCTAAAATTGCATAATTAATGATTAGGAGTCAATTTTGGCTTAAAGTCTCTGTAAAAAGGCATATTTGAAGCTAAAAATGGGCTTTTCAGGGACTAAATGGCGTTCCAACAGCCCCTTAAATCTTTAAAACCGAATTTTTAAGCTCTTGCCAGCAGCTCAGGTTCTAAACTAAATGTTGACCCCGAAGCCTTGAGAAGTCTGAAAATAGCTCTACAATCGCGTATGACCAGGAGTCAATTTTAGCTGAAAATCTGTGAGAAAAAGCAATTTTAAAGCTAAAAATTGCATTCCTAGCGACTAAAACGTCTCCAGAAGCCCCTAAAACATTCAAAATTGCATTTTTAATGCCCAGCTAGCGCTACTTTCAGTATCTAGGCTCAAAATTGACCCTGAAACCCTGAAAAATCTTATTTTGAGCTGTAAAAATGCAATTTTGAGGCTAGGAATTGCATTTCTAGTGATTAAAGGATATCCTGAAGCTGTCCACGCCTTCTAGAGTGCTTTTAGGACCTCAATAGCTCTAAAAATTAACAAAGACTACAAACTACAAACTACAAATATTCACCCAAAAATGGCCTTTTTAAGAAGCCTTTTTCAGAAAGCGTTTTTAAGCTGAAAGTATGCAAGGCTACAAATACTACAAACTACAATTTGATAGACTACAAAAACTACAAACAGCTCTAGAATAGCTCAAAATGACGCTAGAAAAATGGTTCCAACTGGATAATAGTGCACTTTTTGACACTACAAACTACAACTATTTCATTTCTCTATGTTCCAGGCCACGGAAGCGGAGCTGAAGACGTTCGTCAACCTGTTCCAAGACGTGACTGCCGTGCCAGGAAAGGGAGCCGACATTGAAGGCGTGCACTACGTGGTGCCACGCTCCGAGGAGACGCTGATCTTCGGAAAGAAGGAGAACACTGGATTCTTTGCCGCCAAGACCAAGTCGGCCGTCCTGATTGCCGTCTACGAGGGACCGAACGAGGTGGCCGCTCAGGTCCGCAAGGCTGTCGAGAACATGCAGACGTACCTCGCCAACGCTGGATACTAAATTATCACTCCCTTCATTTCGATTCTCTCCCTTTTCGCTCTTCGCCCCGCCCCCTTTTGTATTCTTCTGGAAATCACGAGTACAACGATATGAATCCTCTTCGGTTTTCCGCGTAATCTGGCTTCTCGTTTCGTCCCCCCCCATCCGTTTTCAGCACTTTTTCACTTTCAGCTTTATTGTATGTCCCCCCACCTCTTCATTCCCTTTCTTTATTGCAAGTAAAATCATACCGAAACTTTAGATTTTTCTAGAAAAATCGACCCAATTGATTTCCCGAAAATGTCCATTTTTAGAGACTTTTCTAGCAAAATTTCTGATGTTTCTTGAAATTTGTGAAGCTAGAATTTGCTGAAATTTTTCTAGGAAAATTTCAGATTATTCAGATCAAGGTGGACCAGAAATTTCAAAAATTCTTTCAAATCCCAAAAAATCGAAAAAAATCAAATTTTAAAATTCAAAGTTTTGAAGTTCCTGAAAAACTTGAAATTTCAAAAAAATCCCAAAAAAAAGGATTTTTTGAAATTCCAATGTTGAGCTTGAAAACGATTCTTTTGGAATTCCTGAAAATTTTATTTGAATTATTTTTAAAAAACGCGAAATTTATAAAATTTCAGATATTAAAAAAATCACAAAAAATCCAATTTTTCTGAAATGTTCAAAAATCGGCAAAAAAAAAATCAAAATGCTAAAAATTTTTTTTTTTGAATTCTCGAATTTTTCAAATTATCAAAAAAGTGCCAAAAATGACAACCTATATTTTCAGCAAAAAAAAAAATGTTCTCTGAACAATCAAAATCGAATCAAAATCAATAAATATGTATATATGCAAATAGACTTAGGGGGAAAGATTTCAAATTTACAAGAAAAGGCAATTTTCCAGGGGGCGGAGCTTAGGGGCAAAATTGAAAAATTGAAGAAAAAATACATCAAGTAGAAAAAAAGAAAGTAAGCGGGGCAAAAAAGACCGGAATTTTAGATATGAGGAGAGAATATTCAAAAATAGAGGAAAAACAAAATTTTTGAAAAAAAAATTTTTTTTCGAATTTTCAAAATTTTCACAAATAATTCAAAATCGTCCAATCGCGATAAAAATCGAAATCACGAGCTGAAATAGGCTGAAAATGAGAATACTGAGCAAATTTTTCGAAAAATTTGAAAATTGAAATTTTTTTTTGGAATTTCTCCAAAAATTTTTTTTTTCAAATTTCGATTTTTTCGAAATTTCTTTTCAGCATTTTCATTTTCAGCCAATTTCAGCTCGTGATATCGATTTTTATCGCGATTGGACGATTTTGAAATTTTGAGAAAACTTGGAAAAAAAAATTTTTTTTCGAAATTTTTTTTTTCAAAAATCAATTCCTATTGGTCGCCCGTGGAGCGGTGCCAGTAGAGATGACATGTGCACAGACGTCACACACTCGAACTCTCTTCTCTTCTCCATATTTCGCTATGGGCATCTGGGTTTCGGAGCATTTCGAGCACACATGCCTCCCGCAAGACGACAGTGATGCTTCCGTTGGGTCAGGGAGAAGCGGGTGCCACAGTCACACGTGTCACCGTCCGACCAACGGGGTTCCGCTTCCAGGGATTCTGGAATATTTGTAGTTTGTAGTCTATTCTTCCAGAACTTTGAACCATTTTTCTAGCACCATTTTGAGCTATTTGAGAGGTTTCATAGCTGTTTTGTAGTTTTTGTAGCCTATGTAGCCTTTGTAGTTTGTAGTGTCAAAAAGAAGATCATTTTCCAGTTTGAACCACTTTTCTAGCCTCATTTTGAACTATTTTAGATCGTTTTGTAGTCTTTGTAGTCTAGCAAATTGTAGTTTGTAGTCTTTGTAGTCTTTGTAGTCTAGTCCAATTTCTGCCTAAAACGGTCATTTTGAGCCGAAATTATTTTGTAGTTTTTAGCCTATGTAGTATTTGTAGTCTTGTCTATTTTAAGCCTAATTAACTCATTTTTTCAGGCAAAATTTCAGGATTTTTATAGTCTTTGTAGTTTTTGTAGTCTTTGTAGCCTTGGCTTTTCAAAGCGCCCAAACAGGCCGTTTTTAAGGTCAATTTTTGTAGTTTGTAGTCTTAAAAAATGTCATTTTAGGCCAATTTATCGATTTTTGGAATTTTTTGTAGTTTGTAGTCTTTGTAGTCTAGCCTATTTTTAGCCTAAATTACTCGTTTTTTAGCAAATCTTTTGGATTTTTCTTATTTTTCTGTTATTACAAGCCGAAATAGCAAATTTATGGAGGTTTTCGTAGTTTGTAGTCTTTGTAGTCTTTATAGTCTCACTGTTTTTCTCACCTAACAACCCCAAAAGTAGCTGTTTCGTCGCCGTTTCGTATGTGAACACGTTCACATCTCCATTATTCCGCTGTCCCATGCAAGCTCGTCGTTTCAGAAGTGATCTGAAATTTTTCGAAAAATTTTCAGAAAACATTTTTTTTCGAAAATTTCCAAAAAATTCAAAATTGTCCAATCGCGATAAAAATCGATATCACGAGCTGAAATTGGCTGAAAATGAGGATTCTGAAAAAAAATTCAAAAAAATCACAAATAGAAAAAAATTTTTTTTTCGAAAATTTGAGTTTTCCCAAAAAAATTTTTTTTTCAAATTTCGATTTTTTTAAAAAATTTTTCAGGTTTTCTATTGTTAGCCTATTTCAGCTCGTGATATCGATTTTTTATCCGCGATAGGATGATTTTGAAAATTTTCCTTTTTTTCCAAATAAATTCCAAATTTTTCTCCATAGAGCGCACCTGCAAACCCCAGCGTTTCCCTGCGAGTAGGCAATCATGAGTGCCGTATTTCCATCTGCATCCCTTGCATCGATGAAGCTCGCCATCTGTTTTTCATTCAAAACTCCCGCCTTTCCTCATATTCCAACACCAACTCGATGACGTCACCACTGGTGGTCCGTTTCGGTAGCTTGTCGATTGTCAATAGAGCGCAAATGTGTAGAGATGTGTAACCACTAAAAACATATAGTTAAAAAATTGAAAAAAATCCAAGAAATCGAGCTAAAATGAGTCAAAATGGAGCATTTCCAGGTTTTTTCCAAAAATTTCAAAATCGTCCATTCGCGATAAAAATCGATATCACGAGCTGAAATGGGCTGAAAATGAGAATTCTGAAGAAATTTTTCGAAAAAGTTGAAATTTGAAAAAAAATTTTTTTTGAAAATTTTCAAAATTTTTTTTTT